CCCATACAATATTTGCACAGTGGCTAGGGCTACAAACAGGATGATGTTTAAATTAGTTCGAACCTCGGGTGCCTGACTCAGAGCTTATAATGTCTAAGTAAATACGGTTAAACAGTGAGAAGCAGATAATTCAATCTCTCCGGGCCATGATACCGTTCTGCCAGAATTGCAATATATATGACAGAAGATGTGAGTAAAATACTGCTACGGCATCTTGCTGTTTCTAAAAGGTAACTCTGAAAGAAGTATATATTCGTGCTTGTTATTACTTTACGATGGGAAAATTCGCAAGCCTGCGTATGTGGTTCTAATTAAATATGTGACAAATTACGCATGCATTACACCACATCAGTAGCCCAAGCTAGTATACGTTTATGGCCATACAAAAAATCTGTTTTAATTAATGTGCTGTGTACGCAGCTTCTGCACTCCTGCGTAAAATCCTCAGTAAACGCACAAAAAAAACTCTGCGATAAGATAACGTTTTCGAAATCGATAGATGCACGTTTTGACTATAGAATTTCAAGACATAGAAGGCTTCCTTCCTTTCCTTATTTCTCCTTCATTTGAGAACAAGAATTGCATGTAAAGAATACGCTTTTTTTCGGACTAGCAGAATGAGGCAATGAGACATTGTTTAACGTGCAACAAGCATGAGCTTTTAGTGCACAGATGTCAGCAAACTCACTTGCTTAGCCGGTAGTGTACACTTCGTTGGTAGCAGTGGAGATTGGTGTATGTACTTGTGCATTGCAGGCGCCTCTTTTATACACAAATGTGGCTCGGTCATTTCCGCGGGTGCATAATGAAGACGCCCCCACTGTGATGTTGATTAGTGCAGATGTACGCAATTACTGATTTTCTGACGTAGACCTATTCTTAAACTACGGGGGTGTAAACGAAGTTTCTGTTTATGAAAAATTGGCGATAAGGTCTTGGCAGATACGCAATTCATGTTGTATGCTCGTCTATGTCAACGGGTGCGTAATCTTGACGCCCCCACTCAAACATGGACAAGTGTGGATGTACGCAATTACTAATTGTCTGGCGTAAATATTTAGACCTGTTCTCAAACTGTGTGGGTGTAAGAGGGACTAGCAAGTTTGTGTTTACTAGATAAGGTTAATTACGTCTAGATGGACGTGCGGGCCTTCCTACCGACCATACAAATAACACGATAGTAGGGGACAAGCTAATCGAAAGGCAAAGTAGTACGCCACTATGAGTCATGCAAAAACGTATTCACGTTGCGTTAACGTTGATTCAACACCAAAAAAATGTATACAGTAGATGACCTTATTCGTGCAAAGTCGTGACAGCAATATCAGAGCGCTATATGGTCTTCGCATTGCAGAAGAACATGGATAAAAGACGGCAGCATTTGGTCGAAGCGAAGGGCACCGGATACTGAATTTGTGTTTTATGCTAGTAAATACGACAGTAAACAGGTGTGCCTCAAAATATATTTAATACGATAAGTGAATGATTCACAAAATGCCGCGTATGTCCAGCAAATATGACCGGTACTTCATTAAAAATCACTTAAAAACACACGGAGGGTATCGTAGTAATTTTTCTACGTAAAAATAAAAAAAATTCCTCATTATTTACTGTTAATGTTCAAAGTCGTTTGCCTCAAAACACAGTAGGCTATTAATGCTACACTGTTTTGTTTAAGCAGACCGCTACCAAAATGCATGCATGTTAACTTAGAGCTGAAGGTTGAATATAAGTTATATATTAGATTTGAAGCTTGTGGCAGTACACCTTTTTAACACATTCTTTTCGCATATCTGATACTGCTCTCTGATTATATATATGATGAGGAATCCGTTATGGATCTCAGCGTCGCAGCAATCGAATAGTCTTCTACTCAAATTATTCTCCGGTAAGGATTAATTGGAAAATGAAAAGGTATAAGGTAAGACGTTTTCGCACTATCTAAGCGTATATATTTGGTACATTTGTAACCTAAAATAAAGGTACTTATTTAAAAATATAAAATTCACGGACGAAAGTACGACCAACATGTCATCAATCCTTTTTATCGTAAAAGAAAAAAATTCATATAACCGCATCTTGTCTTTGACGTTGCATTTGTATAAACGTAACTTGCGCCTAGACTAAACTTAACTAAACTCATCTTAATGTCTCCGTAAATAGCTGTTGAGAGAAGCTCCCTTTTTTAACAAATGCTGACATTTGTTCAGTAGGTAGCTTTTTAGTACCAACGAATGTTCACGTTTGGGTGACCTAAACTGTCTTTAGCGTAAAATGTAATATCCCAAGACCCCACTTGTCTTAAATGACTTACAAAAGACATGGCATTTTAAGGCTTTGATGAGCAAAAGAAAAAAATGATCTATATTCATGGAAAGAAGGCTGAAGGATGGCCCAATTTCAAGGACGGTCTGTGAGAGGTAATCTTATACCAGATAAGCATGTTATGTTTCAAATTCAGCAGGCAGTTCCATTTACATGTGCAAGTCAAAGTAACATTTTTTGTCACATCGGCTGTTCTTAAAAAATTATGTACTAGGACCTCTACATGATAATGTAATAAACGGTTGCCGTTTTGTTCCAAAGTTTTATTTCTCTTCATCTTAAAAGAAACTTATTCGAGGAATAGGCAGCCAGCATACGACGCATCTGCTCTCCTAAAGTAGATGACGGAGAACTGCAGCAGCTTCAGAACACACTACCTGAAAATTGCTATCCATAAATGTCCATCCTTCGCAACATTGAGGAGTGTGTCACAAAGCCTGCCGTAACAAGGGCGGAAAAAAATATCTTTTAATAAGACGCAAAAAGCCAAAGAGAAAGACAACGTCTAAGGACAGAAGTCACGAGTGCTTTCCCGGCGGCTAAATTACGTGTATTCTTCACATACTCTCCCCCTCTGTGAATGGGGGTAAATACAGACTGCACGTACAAGTCACTGTCATGTGTATTTATTGATTCACCTGTTTATAATATGGTTATCATGCCAGTATACAGGCAATTGTAAAGAGTTGGTAATGCACCTCTTGGGCGCCTTTCAAAACCTCGAAGGCTGGAAAAAAACCTAAAACAAACTCCCTGTGTTGCAGCCAGTATTGGTTTTGTTTC